CCTCTTCCTCCAGATCACAAATCCCGCCACCACAGCTCCAATGACCACAAAGAGAACCAGGCCAACAATGATGCCCATGATGGGGACGGTGGGCTGAGGAGGTGGCTCTGCAAAGAGAAGGGAAGGGGCCCAACCTCAGGCTTGAGTCCCGACCTTGTTGAAGGTCTTCAGAAGGGCTTCCGCTATACCTGAGAAGAAGGTCCACCCCCGTCTCCCTCCTCACCCCATTTCAGGGTGAGGGGCTCCTGAAGCCCCTCGTGCTGCACGTGGCACGAGTATCTCTGCTCCTCTCCAGGAGACACCACCAGGGCCACCCACTTCTGGAAGGTCCCGTCCCCCGCAGGCCTGGTCTCCACGAGCTCCATGTCCTGGGTCTGGTCCTCCCCATCACGCTGCCAGGTCAGTGAGATCTCCGCAGGGTAGAAGCCCAGGGCCCAGCACTTCAGGGTGACCTTATGGTCAGAGATGGGGTGGTGGGTCACATGTGTTTTTGGAGGGTCTGAGGAGAAAGGTGAGGGAATTTAGGAACTTTGTAGTAACTCCCATGGGCCACATGAAGCAGGGCTCATGTGACCGTTGTGAGAATAGAGAGAACAACTGGGGTGTGGGAAGGAAGTGCAACCCAGACACCAGCCTGGACACAGGCATCTGGGATAATTTCTTATTCTTCAGAAATTTCTGGAATGAGTGAGATAGCCCAGGATGGGAGGCAGGTCTCTGAGGCCAAGAAAAGGAATTTCTGGTCCTGAATTGAGGGGAGGCCCACAGACTCTGAAAAGCTGGAGTCAGATCTCCAACACCCTGAGTGAAGGACAGAGAACAAGGCTTGAGAGAGTTCCCCAAGGTTCTCAGAGTTGCTGCCAGAGTCAAAGAAACCGCTGGTAAGTTGTTTCAGAGACGGTCTTCCCCTCCATCCCCAGAACAGCTAGATCCCTTAATTGTCTACAGAGAAGGGTGAGACACTCTTTGGTATCCAGTCTGAGAGCTCGGGTGGATTCCTCCATCTCCCCATCCATTTGGAGAGGTGGTTTTCTGGCGTCGATCCCAATTTTCCTCCCCTAGTACAGGGAAGCCAGTCCTAGCCAGACCGGAGATCCAGTAGGCACCTGCGTCCCCTGGTACCTGCGTGCTGCAGCGTCTTCTTCCCCTTCTCCAGGAGTCTGAGGAGCCCCTCCACGCATGCCCCGTCCAGGTAGGCTCTGTTCATTTCTGCCACACCCGCCGCCTCCCACTTCTGCTGGGTGATCTGAGCCGCCGTGTCCGCCGCGGTCCAGGAGCGCAGGTCCTGGTTCAGGGCGATGTAATCGTGGCCGTCGTAGGCGTACTGACTGTACCCGCGGAGGAGACGCCCGTCCAGCGCGGCATCGCATCCACAAAACCACTGGTAGGTGTGAGACCCTGATCCGGCCACTAAAATTAGTCCCGTCCACTTGGCCCCGCCCCCAAAAGATTGGTCAGAACATTTTGAGCATAAAAGGAAAACTAACCCGAGAGAATCCCTGCGGATTCTCCCTGCCGAATCTTATCGGAACACTTAGCGGCTGGCGGGTGAGGCCTGGACCTGGTAACACTGGGGGATGCAGGATCCTGACCTGGACCCGGGCCCACCTCGCTCACCTGCCTCGCTCTGGTTGTAGTAGCTGCGCAGGTTGTTCAGGCCCAGTCTGAAACTTTGTTTGGTGTCCTCGAAGATTTGAGTCTCAGCTTCCCAGTTCTCTGTCCCCTCCTGCTCCAACCACCGCGCCAACGGATTCGGGGCGTCGCTGTCGAACCGCACGAACTGCGTGTCGTCCACGTAACCGATGGAGATGAAGCGGGGCTCCCCGCGGCCGGGCAGGGACACGGCCGTGTAGAAATACCTCAGGGAGTGGGAGCCTGGGGGCGGGGAGGGGGTGGAACTCAACCCTCCTCCTGAAGCAGGACTTGGGTCCCAGGTCGTGGACCCGGGAGGGCGGACGGGGTGAGGGGCTCGTGAGACGGAAAAGGGGCTGCACGAGACCTGAATGGGTGAGAGCAGGGTGTGGGAAACAGGAAGGGACAGGGCAGGATCGGGACAGGGCGGAGTCGAGGTGGATACTTGGGCTAAATTGTGGAGACACGCCTTCCCCGAGGGTCCTGTGCCCCCGCCGGGTGGTTCCCTCGCTCCTCCCCAGCAGAAGCCCTTCCCTCTCTACCCACTACTCACCTGCCCAGATCTCCTTCGGGGCCAGGGCCCTCAAGAGCAATAGGAGGAGAGTTCGGAGCTTCATATTCTCCATGTTCCGGGTCTGGGGAGAAAAAGAGCCTGAGTGGGTCTGTGGAGACCGAGAACCACCAACCGAGAATGACATGAGGCTTATTGGCTTCTCCAGCCAATTTGACACCCAATGAGAGTGAGAACTGGGGCTGCGTCATGAGTGTCCAGGCAGGAGGGCCCAACACAGGTTGTGAGAGAGAAACTGAAACTCAGAGGAGATGGGGAATCCCCAGCACTGAACTTCCCCGCTCCAGACCCCGCCTTCGGTGAGACACTGAGAGCCACGCCCTGCCGGGGACCTGGGACTTTACCTTGATCCCTCCCCTGCTGCACCTAGAGCTCTTTGTCACACTGTCTCCCTGAGTCCTGGTCCAGAGGCTGTCTGAGGAAACCCGGAAGGGATGCCCAGATTGGGCTCAGCCAGTTTTCCCTCCGCTGTTCTTTCTGGAATCGTCCTGGCTGAACAGGACCATCTGCTTTTCACTCCCTTCCCCTCCTCCTGGACTCTTCAAGAAGAAAACTCAGCCCCCAGGGAACTTGATGCCACAGTGTGGTCGCCCTGGGTATGGAGGTGGAGGAACAGGAGTTTTGTCTTTCAACCTGAAGAGATTGTGCCTGAAGACTCCAGATAAAGATTACCATAGAGACCAGTTTCCCTGATGTTTGTTAACTACAAGCAAGAGCACAATCTTGATGATACTGAACGTCAGGAGTCTAGTCATGGAAAAATGACTTTGGCCTTTACATTTAGAAATGTGTCTAAACAGCACTGCAAGAAGACTCACAAAGCTCCTAAATCTTGCTTTCCCAGTGTATCAGTGACTCCTGTTGTATTTCTACTTTTTAGCTTTGAATTTTTTAAAGAAATTTTTAAAAAATTTT